CCGTGAAGCGCCTGAGTGGAGGAGGCGGCTACCACAGTGCCATCTATAGACACTACCAGTACCTTTTACTAGCGTTTGGGATGACGGGTGTGCCTATTTCGAGAGAACATTTTCTACTCCCACCTGTACTGGGTTGAATACTGCCTCCACCCCACGTTCACATCTTTCCCAGAATCGCAGGTGAGGACCTCATTTGGAAATAGAGCTGTATAGATGCAATGCATTAAGATCCAGGGCGGATGGAGCAGGTTGTTCCTCGGCCCAACAAGACTAGTGCTCTTACTGAGAAGAGGCTGAGAAAGTGGCCAGGGCGAGACAGACACAGGGAGGAAGATGAGCAGAAACGGACAAGATGGCCGCCGGCTGATGGAGGCGGAGACCAGGGCGATGGGTCTGAGGCTTGTGAGGGCTGCTGGACACACAGAGGCTACAAGGGGCTTGTGCTTTGACTCCATGGGCAAAGCTCTGTTCCTCCAAGAACATCTTAAAAGTATCTCTTGGGGGCTCCAGCAGGTAGAGGCTCAGCTGGGGAACACTCTGAGGGGTCTTTTGTGAAATGGCCAGTCTTACGTCAGATCCTTGAGCCAAGTTTCCCTTGGGGCACAGCGTGTATCTCCAAGCCTTATCTGGAGGGCTAGCAGCCTTCTCTGAGTAGCCCCGGGGCCAGCCCTGACTGCTTTCCATTCTTAGAGGAACTGGGCCTTCCTCCTTCCCTGGGAGAGCTGTCTGTAGCTGCACTGGTCCCAATCCCGACTGCCCACAATGGCGAGGCGGAGACACGCCAGGCTCAGACACGCTCAGGCCCAGCCAGGCGCCCCCTGCCTGGCTCCTCAGCTCCGGCGTGTGCGGCCTCTGCAGCCACAGAACAGCGAATCTCTGCTTCTCGATGTTGCAACCCCAGCGCGTGAGTCAATGGTGCTCATTCATGTCCTGATAACACTGATCTCATTCTTTCACCTCAGTGGAGAACGCGGGACTGTTCCTCAGATTCCACCCTTGTTTTTATTTCCTTATCAACTCACCTGGGACACCTACCCACTTTCTCCCCTACCAGCCACAGAGTCAACATGCGATTGTGTCCAGTGGCTGCTGCCACCGGTGAGGTGTGGCACAGTGACCAGGCACCCTGCTCCTAGCGCCCCCCCCCCCACCTTGGAGGGCAGAATGTGGCCCCTCCCACTCTGGCGCTCCCGGGAACTTCTCTGGCCAACTGCACAGTCTCCAACCTGCTCGCTGGTGCTGAGACTCAAAGGCAGCAGGAAATCATTGTTCAAAAAGCCCAATAAACCCGGCAGGAAATCATTGTTCAAAAAGCCCAATAAACCCGGTGCTGTGGTGGTGGTGATGGGGGGTTGGGGGGCTATGGGACCGCACTGAGGGAGAAGCAGACACTGCAAAGATGAACGGTGTTAGAAGTTTGCAATATAACCTCACTTGGCACAGTGCAGCGGCTGACCGAAGAGGCGGAAGCTTCGCCTGAAGAGGGCAGATGCTCCCTCCCTGAAGGGACACCCTAGCTGCTGCCTTCACGGATGTTCTGGGCTCAGGGTCCTACCCCCATGTGAGCTGCTTCTTCCACACAGGCCTATTTTATCCCCATTGTAGTAAGTAAATGTCTGCTTAGAAAGTGCTGGAGGCACATCTCAGCCAGACCTTGGCGTTCATACTGAGGCTTTAAGAAAGACGTGCAAAGTGATTTTCAAGTTCTGGCCATGGGTTTGCCCAGAGCTTGGACCTGGAAGGCGCTAGACCTTGTTTCTGAGGTCACGCTTGGGAGCAGAGGGAACCGCTGGCCACGGGTGACTGTGAAGCAAGAGAGAGCCTGTCGTGTTGACCAGTGCTGTCAAAGAGCTGTCCTGGGACAGCGAGTCCCGGAAACCGTGCGGGCCTGCCCATCTTCTGGAAGCAGAGCCACCAGGCCGAGGCCCAGCGGTGGTCAGAAAGGCTTGAAAACCGTTTCTCAAACTTCAGTTCTGTTTTGCTGTCTGAGGCTCCAGGCACCTGAGTGTGGCGGGACCTTTGCTTGACACCCACGCCTGGAGCAAGAATACAATGGAATTTCAGCTTCTTCTCTAGAAAGAGGAAAGAAAGTAAAAGGCCTTCAAAGGGCCAGGTTGAGGGCAAGCTGGGGCCATCTTTCATGTTCAGGCCAGATCCCAACTTGGAAAAACTATTAGAATCACCTACCAGCGGTTTGGGGAGACAGGGTAGAAGAAAGCAGCCAGTGAAGAAGTGAATGGATTCTCATATCAGCCCAGAGCCTTGGCAGGGGAGGCGGGAGTTGGCTTCTACACACTTGCATGCTCCCCATACTTAATTTTCAGACTAAAGATGTGACGAGTAACGGAGCAGGGCCTATGGCTTTTTAGAATTAAAATACGGAAGTGGTTTGTTAAGAGCAGCACAGGTAGCCTAAACTCTTGCTAAGTTCTGGGTAAGGCAGAGATGGTAGAGATGAGTGAGTCTAAATATTACCAAGAAATCTTTAAAAAAATAAATAAGGGCTCTCCCTGGTGGTGCAGCAGGTTAAAGCACCCCATTACCTAGCTCTCCGAATCCACTGCGGCACGAGTTTGATCCCCGGCCAGGGAGGTAACCCACATGACGCAGCAGACCTCTCCTGACCCGCCCGCTGCTCCCCTCAGCAGTGTACTTTGTCCATCTGCCTGTTCTGCTCCCCGCTCTGTCTCTCGCCCACCACACCTCTGGCCCGTACCCCAGTTCTGTAGGCATAAATAAATAAATCTTTAAAAATAAATAAATAAATACGTATTACAAAGCTTCAGCAACAGCTACTAGGACTTCAGAAGAGGTTCTCTGGTCACTGAGGGTCTCCTCACCTCTCGAGAGATCCACTGCCTGCCACCTCCCACTCCACATAAGGCCCTCGGGAAGCCACTTTCCCTCCTCCCTGGCTCTGGGAAGACCACCTACGCTTTAAAGCAAGGTCAACCCTCCATGGCTCTTGGGCCAGACCTAGCCCACTGCCCATTTCTGTGCGAATTTGCCACAAAGAGGAGGCTTTCCACTTTAAATGATTGACAAAACAATTTGTAAAGACTCCTTTGTGACACAAGACGATGAGATGAACTCCTCATTTCCCTGCCCAGGAATAAAATTTTACTGGGACATAGTTCCACCCACTTGTTGACATATTTCAAAAGACAAGGTCGGAGTTGAATAGTTGCCACAGAGACTGACTGTATAGTCTCCAGAGTTGAAAAGATTTACTGTCTGGCCCCTTACCAGAAAGGTTTGCCAACCTCTTTTTAAAGCAAAGAACTTGCCACTCGAGGACCTCCAGGTCCCGGCCAGGATTTAGCTGCACACTGCATGCCCAGCGAGACTTTATATCCAGTTGTTTTGTGGGTCCCTGTCACTTAATCTAATGAAAGGCTGAGTAGCCCAGTCCAGACTCATCACACCCCTCACTTTCCTCGCCCTAAACTCTGCCCTTCCATCCCAGGGCGTGAAAGAGCTGAGTGTGGAGTGCTACTTTACTCGCTGAAGTCAGCGGGGTGAGCATTCCAAAGGTCCGTCTTCAGAGGGGCAGGTCCTCGCTACCTTTTATTTGAAAACGTTTCCTAATTATTTTCTTTCACCAGGAAGAAGTCTATATACCTAGATACGGAACATGTAGAACTGGAGTAAACCATCAATATTTTCATTGCTACTCACATGTGATGCCAACCTCAGAACAAACAAAAACGCACTGCAGCCAGAGCGCAGCCCGGGAGTCCATTCACTCCCGCCCGGCGTCAGACTCCCTGGGTGCTCATGCACGAGGCGCTAAAGCCCAGCACAGGTGAGACAGCAGTAACTAGGGGCTGACGCGCCTCAGCCATTTGGGCTCTGAAAACCCAGGTACATCCTCCCCAAAAGCTCCAGGAGCCACAAACCAAGGATGCTTGGGCAGCCCGCAGGGGGCCGCCTGCCCAGCTGAAGTCTGCTGAACAACTGACAGGATGAGTCCTCCCGGCCACCCTCTGATGCGCTGCTGCCCTTGCTATGGCAGAGTGGAATCCCGAACAGCTGCCCTTACCGATGGGGAGCGCACGGCTCCCTGCCCGCCCGCCACTGCGCTGTGGGTCTCCAGCGCTCTGCTCTCCTGTGCCGGCTCCTGAAGCTCGGGACAGGGAGGTACGCAAGGCCACACAGGGCTGGACTCATCTGGAGCTCTGGTCACCTGGCCAGCGACAGCAAGGACAAAGGTGGCCCCTGAGCGCCCACCGGTTCTGATGGAGGGGGTGCGGGCTCTGCCGCCCGACACCCGCAGTCCAGCTCGGTCCACGCCGCCGCCGTGTGGGGTGCGGGTGGGAACAGAGGACCGCGGATTCCCAACAGGTGGGCAGCTCTGGTTACTAAAAGCCTGAGCCTGGGGTCCTCAGGGTTCTGCTCCTCAGGGCCCAGACCTCCCGCTCCTCAACTTCCCGGAGCCCGCGACCCCGGCTCCCCACTCCCCGACACCCGGAGAGTCTGGCCGCGGTGGCCAAGTGGCCCTGCCTGGCGCGCGCGCTCTTGCTAACCCGCCGGGCGCCCTCCCCGCGCCAGCCGCGC